TTCAATTTGCGTCGAAGAATTTCGGATGTAGCATGTTGAATCTCCTTCTCTGGTTTTAACTTTTCTAGGCTGAAGGTTACACAAGCAGTAAACACATGTTAGCTATCAATGGGGAAATGAGCTATCAGACTTCTCTGATGACATACACATGTGTAAAGAATCGATTTAAGTTCCAAAAGAGTGACATCTTTGCATTTTATCCAACATTTCAACTTTATTTTTTTTTCAAAGTCTTTCCTACTCTTCAAATCTCAAAAGTGACAATCTTTAAAGTTGGAATGAGTTGTAGGGATAAAACTCATTCACTGCTTTGACCATCATCTTAATCTATAGCATATCAGATTTAACATCAATATAAAAAGGATTTTTGTTACATTATCACCACAATTAACTCATAAACAGCATTGCTTGAGAGATACGAGATAGAACAATAAAATAAACACACCTTAGACCCTTCCAGCCATCAGCAGAATATGCAAGAATCACACTTCGCTCATAGTTTATCCGACTCAATAAATATCTAAGATGCCCCTTGATTCTTGAATATTCATCAGCAACTTCTCTTTTTTCCCTCCTCTTTTTTCTCTTTTTTCTCGGCTCACTAGAACCATCAGCCAAATTATTGCTCGACTCACTAGGTTTAGATTTCTCTTGTGAATTCAATGCCAAAACATTGTCATTGCTTGTCAAAGATCTTAGTATAGATTCCTTATTTATCATTTTCGAAGTTCGTCCATCCTTGCTTTGGTCAAAATTATTAGACGTTTTATGTTGTTCTACACCAGAAATTTGGGCCATGTCCTCACAATTGAGCCCTAGTTGTTGAATGCTAGGATCTCCTAAAGCAAATTCTTGAGGCAACTCTAAATGATCAACAAATGAACTTTTACTGGTCTGAATAACATCTTGTGATTCTTCATCAACATGAGGCCTTTTACTGGTCTGAATAACATGATTTGCTTCTTCATCAACAAGAGAACTTTTACTGGTCTGGATAACATTGTTTGCTTCTTCACCAACACGAGAACTTTTACTAGTTTGAATAACATTGTTTGCTTCTTCATCAACAAGAGAACTTTTACTGGTATGAATAATAATATTGTTTGCTTCTTCATCAACAGGAGAAGTTTTACTAGTTTGAATACCATTGTTTGCTTTTTCATCGACAAGAGAACTTTTACTGGTCAGGATAACATTGTCTGCTTCTTCATCAATAAGTGCTTCATCAACAAGAGAATTTTTACTGGTCTGAATAACATTGTTTGCTTCTTCATCAACAAGAGAACTTTTACTTGTCTGAATAACATTGTTTGCTGCTTCATCAACAAGATGACTTTTACTAGTTTGAATAACATTTTTTTCTTCATCAATAAGTGAACTTTTACTGGTCTGAATAACATTGTTTATTTCTTCAGAAGGTAACTGTAAAAGCTTGCGATGGTTGCTCTTGTTTGTATCTTCAGGATTCGATTGCCATGATTGATTAAAAACATCAGTAGAGCCTTCTTCAATACTAGTCGGTAAACTTTCAGAATCAAGCTGTTGTCCTTGCTCTGGCGATTCATTAAGTTCTTTACATATGTTTCCAGATTCGAAACCAACTGTTCTCTCTGCACTATCTTTTTGGGGACTTGAAAGTTTATTACTTTGAGTGTCCTTTCCAACATCTTCTAGTGACAACCCTAAACTATCAGTAATAGAATTCTCGAACAAACCTTTAGAAAATGGTGTTGATTGTTTAACAGGACACGATTCTTCAATTTGAACAGCTTCAGACCCATGCTGATGCCTGTGTTCAAGTGTTACAATTTCCTGAGGGCAAAAGTTTTGAGTCTGATCATGCTCATTGCCACCTCTAGGAAGCAGTCCCCGATTTTCTGGGGAAGAAACTCTAGCCACATATTCAGAAGATGGTTTGTGAATGCTGGAGCAAGAAACACCATTGGTAATTTCTGCTGATTCATTTTGTGTCGTTGCACGATCACATTGGTCTTTATTCTCTGAAAGTCCTGTAAGTAAATATTCGCTACCGATTTCATGCGACTCTTTTGATGTACTTTCTTCGTGAATAACATGGTTTCCCTCTTTACCCTTTGCCTGTGATGGAGATGCACCCATATGTTCAACGTTGATCATACAGGTTATAAGGCTAGCAATGACCCATCCCTGCACCATACTACCACAATAAGTTCTGCAATTTCAGAAAAACACAGCTAATAAGGTCGGACAGAATGGATGGTAAAATCATTCAAACATACAATATAAAACCCCAAAAATGTATGCATATAAGCCTGAGGTTGACAACAAAAACAAGGCTTACCCGATCACAGTCTATAGGAATGCTTTTGTGTAGCGTTCCATCACCATGAGCCAGCAGCGAATTGTGTACAATCTAACCTAGCTAATGAACCTCTGAGAGGAGAAAATATTACAGGGTTCAAAATTAAATAATTAACCGAAATAAGCAAAAACTATGGAGAGTCTAATGTCACAAGCTGCTCAAAAGGAAATAACAATGAATAGAACACAAAATCATAGCACATTATACTTGTAAACATCAAATTATTACCAGTTTTACTACTTAGTTGAGGGAGGAAAAAAAGGAGACTTGAAACATGCTACGAAAAAGTAATTGCATCATTTCATTTCCATTTAACAAAGAAATTGCTCATCTACAGCTTAAATGGTTAAGCTAAGCTAAAATTATGAGCTCCGGACAGAAAAGAAATAATAATAATAATAATAATAAACTCAACTGAGATGGCAATATGCTACTTTTTTGCTGAACAAGAGACGGCGACAAATGGCAATAGAATTTGAAATTAATAGTGGCAAACTTTCTTCGCCATTAATGTTTTAGTTATTTTCTTTTTGTTAGCATTAAAACAAAGAAAAAAGAGAGGAAGGTGTGAAAGGAATTAACCTTTAATAATAGTGCATTTTGCAAAGATGGAAAGGGGAGAGATTTTCTAGCAGTGGTGGTGATTGAAGGAAAAAGAGGAGGGATGAATGCGTGCGTGTAATAATGAAGAAGGGCCTTTAATTCTGGCTCACCGTCAAGCGGAATTAGCGAGTGAGAGATAAAAATGGGATTGTATTCAGTTGTTAGTTGTTATATATTTTTGAGTAAATTATATAAATTATTTGTGGGTAAAATACAAAAATGGTTTCCTGATTATAACTTGTTACTTTGTTGATTCATCTGACTATAAAAAATTACAGAATTACCCATCGAATATAGGATATTGCTTTTTCCAGTCGCCTAACTATTAAAAGTTACAAAATGGTCACCCGACTATTCATTATGTTCCAAATCCATCATCTTCTATTAAAAATTTAACGACATTCTGAATTGGATGTTAATATGTTGTTTGAGATATGATAAAATTTGATCTCAGAATCTCAAACGATTATCATATCTCAGACAACAGATTAACATCCTGCCCAGACTACCACTAACTTTTTAATAGAAAAGAACGAATTTAGAACATAACGAACAGTCGAGCGATCATTTTGTAAATTTTAATAGTTTAGGGACTTAACAAAATAATACCATATAGTTGGAGGACCATTTTATAATTTTTAATAATCAAATGACCCAACAAAACAATATCATATAATCAAAAGACCATATGTGTACTTTACCCATGAATTTTTTAATAATGAAATTTTAGAAAATAATAATAAAGACGAATCTATGTGGAAGGTAAGAGGGTCAATTACTCCATGATTTTGATGGTTTAATTAATTTTAGGTTATTAATGTTTTGAAATCATTACAAATAAACTATTGTCATTCCTACAATTTATCGGTTTAAGTATATTTTATATCCTTTTCAATTTTAAAATAAAATTTTGACTTATGTTTTTTTGTTTAATTATTCTTTAAAATTCTTCAATTTTAAAATTAACGAAATCAAACCACAATTCCTTTAAATTCTATTGTTTATTAAAAAAAAATACCTAGCCGTTTTCTTCCTCCTTGTCTTTATTCCTTTTTTTATTCTTCTTTACAACTTGTGTAAATTTTATTAATCAATCTAATTTTTTCTTCTTTAATTTTGTTTAACCGATGATAATACTGATTTTGATGCTGGTTGTCGCCCGCTAGTTATCTTTTTTCCTTGTCTTTTTAGTTTTTTAATAAGAATAATTATGTCTTTGAGACATGTTATCTGTCTTTATAGCACGTTTATCCTCTATCTTTATGGCACGTTTTTCTCTACCTTTTGGTACTTACAGTTTTTTTGCTGTTGATTCTGTTTATCTTTTTTTTTCTTAGGGTTGAATTTGACATCGTCACGACTGATCAAGATGACTCTTATTTGTTATCATAATGATCTTACCTGCTTTTGACCTTCGGATTGATTTGAATACATATTTTGCGTTCATCGATAGTTTTTTCACGTTGCTTGACTCTGATTTGCGATTTATCGGTGGCTTTTAGTAGCCTCATCCATTTTGTGGTTCGTTTGCCTATGCAGTCAAATTTGTTCGTATCTTTATTTTGTTTGAGCTTTTTGGTTAGTTTTTTTTAACTTTTTCCTTATAATTGGTCCTTGTGTGATCTAGGTGGCTAGTTTTTGTGTCAATGGTTATAAGAAAATATCCTAATTATAATTTTGTTTACGTTTATGTTATACTTGTAAATCTTCATTGTAATTCTAGATATTTTCTATTTTTAATAAAACTAGTGACTTTCTATAAAAAAAAATTCTATGGTTTATTGATTTTTAAAGACTATTTCTTTCAAAACTAAACAACTTGTTTTCCTCGTAGTTCAATTCTGACTCTGTCCCTAACAAAATGGTTATAACATTTTTGTTCCGTAGCAAACCGATCCCTCAACCATTAATAATCCTTATCACAATTACAGAAGTCTAGTGTGGTACGTTTGGACGGTTGAATTGACATTGTTTGACCATGTAGACACCCTTTGACCAACTACTTTGGCTTCCACTTTAGAAAATATAGAGAATAAACTACATAAATAGTCATTGAAACATTAAGAGAGCCTATTCTGTTCTATGATGAGGTCAGCTTCTTAGATTGTAATAAAACATAGTGAGAAAGGAGTTACAAAAGTAACCATGTTTGTTATGCAGGTAGTTTTATACGAAGACGAATTGGCTGATAACGGAGTGTCACTTCTAACTGTGAAAGTGGTAAATGTTGGTTTTTGAAAGGATTGTAATCTGTATAATGTTATAATGGTTATAATGGAAGAGAACTAATTACTTTATTGCCTTTTGTCTAGAGAGTCATGCCAAGTTCTTGGTTTCTACTCCTGCGATTTTGGGTAAGTGGGAATACTACAAATGCCTTCATTAGGCAAATATATGCAATTGACATTTTCCTAGCAGTCATGTTTTTGCCCCATTAACCCCCCCCCCCTTCTTTTCTTATTTTCTCTCCTGTCATCCTGGAAGAAATGCTGAGCTTGTTTCCCGTGATTGCCTACAAAAACCTTGATATAAAATCCGCTGCAATGTATTTCCCCTTTCAGCTACTTAGTTTCTCTAACAGCTTCGGGGTTGATGGAGTGCTAATGCGATTAAGGGACACCAGCATGCATTGTGTTTTCGATGAGAGTGCTAATCCTGTCATTCTTAGGGAGCAAGCTTTGTCTGCTTTAAGTATATAATCACTCAGACGTTCACATTTTCTTTGCTTGTTTGCCTATGCTCCTGCCAACTTTTATTTATTTGCACATACGTACTTGGAGTTGTTAGATGGGAAACTTATTATCTTTCCTTGTAAGTCTTAAGTGGCAAGCCGCAAGCTTAATTCTTTATTGCTGCTGTCGTAACCGGTTTTCGTCCGGGCACGAATTTTTTTTACTTGACGGGAAAATTGATGTGAATAAATGGTTTTGAAAATAATTTGAGAGTCGTCATCGGCCTTTTGGGTCAGGTAGGTCGAATACCTAAAAATTATCTTTTAAAAGAGTTTTTAAGAAAACATCGATTAAAAGATAAGCTGATCTGCGTTTTAACCAAAAAATCATTCTTTTTAATAATAAAAAGGGATTCGTGGTCGGTTACGTTTAGGGAAGGATTAGCACCCCTACAACGCCCAAAATTGGTACTTTTTAATTATAAATTGTCTCTTATATTAGAATAAAAAATTTCAAATATATTTAATTCATAATCCTTTTATTTCAAATTTATAATTTTAAGAAAATATATTAATATATATATAAATAAGAAATTTATTTATTTAGAAATATCAGAAAAGAGCTTCTAGGTGCTTTAAGACAGCTCTTTTCTTTGATATAAATAAATAACTAAAAAAAATTATTTTAATATAGTAAGATATTTATTTAATTAAAAATATTAGAAAAGGGTTTCTAGTTATTTTAAGACGCTCTTTCCTTCAATATTTTTTAAAAAATAAATAAATATCTAAAATATAAATTAAACATATCTAGTTCATAAATAGGATTTTTATTTCATAGAAAACAAATAAATAAATAAATAAATATTATTTATTATATATATTTATATGACTAAGATAATAATATAATAATAATTAAAGTAATCATTTAAACATATTGGATTTGAAATGATAATAATACAAATTAAATTGTAATTAAATAGGGACTAAAACATATTAAAATAAATAAAAATTAAAATAATTAAAATTTACAGCCCTTATTTATAGTATTATAAAAATATAATTACTAATGATGTAATTAATCCTAATTATTAATAGGTGATTAAAATAATAATCATTAAAATTAAAGGTTCCAACTCGAATGATAAAAAGATCTAAGTGCTAATAATATAATTTAGCCTTATTTAATTAATTCGGATTAAAATGATTTTTACTAAACTATAAAGGACTAAATTAGGTATTTACCTTAAATAAATATATTTAATACTGGTAAGGACGAAAACATAATAAAATAAAATTCAAAAACTGAATTAAAATGTTCAGAAATTAATTTCAGTGACTAAAATGAATAATTATAAAACTTGGATGGCTACAGAAAGGGTTTTACCCTTGAGGGTAATTACAGAAATACCCCTCTCCCAAAACAACGTCGTTTGGGAGAGGGCATTTAACCCCAAACGGCTGGCCCGAAGGGCCAGCTCTCTCATTCTCCTTTCTCCCTTCTCTCTCTCAAACGAGAGAATTTTTTTTTCTCTCGCTTGTCTCTAAGTTTCCCTCGCTGGAGGGAAACCGGCAGCCATAGGCCACCGTACTCCGCCGCCGGCCACCGCCGGCGACCACCGTAACGGTGACCGAATTTACCAAAAACACCCCCAAAGCGTAGATCTAAACGCCCTAAGACCGATTCCGGTCTTTGTTTTCCCTAAAAGACTCCTAATCGGAGTAAATCTACGAAAATACCGAAGGTATTTTCTGTTCTCCGGCGATGTTTAGTGCTTCCGACGATGGTCAAGGCTCCAAGGGTAAGTTTCTTTCTTCTTTCTTTGTTTTCTGTTTTGGTTTTATGCTGGTTGTGGGTTCGTCTCTGTTCGGTTCTTTCCTCTCTGTTTTTTTTTTCTGTTTTCTGTCCTCGTTTCTCTCGTGTTCTCCGTTGCTCTCTGTTCTTTGCTTGCTGTCGTGTTTTTTTATTTTTGCAGGTTCGGTGGTGGCTTTTATAGCCACCATGGTGCTCGGTATGGACTGGTCACAGAGGGGCTTCTCGGTGAGTCACCGGGCTATGTGGTGACTCACCTTGGTAGCTGCGACGTGGAGGAGAAACTGGCTCTTCTGGAAGTTTCCTCGAGGCGGCGGCGTCGTGGTTGCAACGGATTGGGTCACCTGCCAGTTGAAGCGTCAACGTGGGGCGGCTGACCGTCGGCAATGGCGAGAGGAGACACCTGGAAGAGGTGGCGCCGCGTGGTCCCTAGGGTTATGATACCCTAGGGTTTCAAGCTGGAAGTATCTGGAGACCGTTGGATCAAGGCCAGATCCAACGGTGATGAGCTAAGGCGGCTGAGAGAAGATTCGAAAACCCTAAAAGGGTTTTGGGTCATGTTTGGGCCTGGATGTAACCGGTTGTAAATGGGCTTTGTAATATTTAATAAATAATATATAATAATAATAATAATAATAATAATAATTTTAATAATAATAATAAACTTAAATGGAAAAAAATTGATGTCTACAACTGCCCCTCTTTGCTCATCCTTGTGTTAACAAGAATAGAGCAAAGACGAAAAAGACAATAATTTTTTCATTTGGCTTCTTTTGAGCAGGATGGAAATGTTTGAAAACATCATGCACTGAAGGACTTACAGATGACCCGAAGGCTTTAAAAACATCAAAAAGCTCCCGAAGGCTTTTTGGAAACATCATGCACTGCATGACTTACAGATGACCCTAAGGCTTTGAAAACATCAAAAAGCTCCCGAAGGCTTTTTGGAAACATCATGCACTGAAGGACTTACAGATGACCCGAAGGCTTTGAAAACATCAAAAAGCTCCCGAAGGCTTTTTGGAAACATCATGCACTGAAGGGCTTACAGATGACCGAAGGCTTTGAAAACATCAAAAAGCTCCCGAAGGCTTTTTGGAAACATCATGCACTGAAGGGCTTACAGATGACCCGAAGGCTTTGAAAACATCAAAAAGCTCCCGAAGGCTTTTTGGAAACATCATGCACTGAAGGGCTTACAGATGACCCGAAGGCTTTGAAAACATCAAAAAGCTCCCGAAGGCTTTTTGGAAACATCATGCACTGAAGGACTTACAGATGACCCGAAGGCTTTGAAAACATCAAAAGCTCCCGAAGGCTTTTTGGAAACATCATGCACTGAAGGGCTTACAGATGACCCGAAGGCTTTGAAAACATCAAAAAGCTCCCGAAGGCTTTTTGGAAACATCATGCACTGAAGGGCTTACAGACGTGGGAAATAGTTTACTAAGTAAGAAACTATGGAAATCGTTTTCTTACTATTCAACAATTTCTTTTTCAGAAAATATTGAATGAGAAACTATGGAAATCGTTTTCTCATTATTTTTTTTGAAATAATATGTTGATTGGGTAACATGCCCCAATCTCAAGATAATTTTCATTCTTGTGGATTGCATCCATCACTTTTTCAGATATTTGCATGATTCCTGTATTTGCGGTTTTGAATACCTTCTTCTTGTAAGGTATTTCTTACCATGAATCTTCTTGTTATTCCGAAGATCTGTAAAACTTCATGTTTGAATGCACTCAAATGTATCAATGTAATGCATTGTCTATTGTGTAAATGATATTCTTATGAATGCATGAATGTTGATGCAATCTTCATTTGACTTCAAAGTGGTGAACTCGATCTTCCTTCAGTTCATCATTTATTGCCAGGGTTACCTCTGGATATCAGTGTAGCAATTTATGCTATTAAGCTTACATTTCTGTAGAATCATCTGATCAACTTGTATCTTTGCTGTCTTTTTTTTTCTTCATGAAAGTCTCAAAAGTAATGTTTCATTTGTGGAATTCTTGCTGTAGTCAGAACTATGACCTTGATGTCCCATTTTGTCTTGGATAAAACCAGTTTTCTTTGCTTGGACTCGTGCAGAAATTCCATAAAGCTTTCATCTTTGAAAAGAGAATCTATCATCTTTAAAAAAGAAAATTTGTCATCTTTGAAGAGTGTAGATGTAAATATGCCTGACTCAGCAGGGATTAATTAGGAGAGTAGAGTTTGTTCTGATTTGACTCTTGAAACATATCACAAGGAAGATTTATTCCAATTCCTTTCATGTCTCCACATATAATCAAATCTCGAATAAGGCAACTTGGACCATATAATGTCGAGATGCTTAACAACAACTTGTAGTTCAACCATAATTGGCTCCACTAGTTTCTTATTGTTAAAATTTCTGCTTCCCTTATGTGGAAAGAAATCTTCATTATATCTTGGGGTTGAAGAAGACAGATTTCATCTTGGATCAATAAATGGAAACCATATGATCGTAACATTGGTTCAGTATCCGAATAGCAGGTTCGTAAAACATTTAACAGTGCATTCATCCTTTCTTGTGGCTTCTGCTCAGATGTTCGTAAAACATTTGACAACACATTCATCCTTTCTTGTGGCTTCTGCTCAGATGTTCTTAATCATTGAAGCTCTTTGCCTAGTGTTCAAAGCTTTTGAATGCTGTCACAAGACCATTTGAGAACAAAAACTCAGTGGGGATTCAAGTGTAATGTTGGTATGACCAAAAAGTTGGTCAAATTCACAAGATATGCTGGTGTCGAATTGAATAGGAGACACTAACTGATCTTGATATCATCTCAGGCAAAGACAAATGTGATACTGATCACATTTTCTTCTATAATGATCTTTGTAGGAAGTAGAAACACATCAACTGTAGGATCAATGTACAGAAAGATATCCGTGGAATTTTTGCAGCTGGGGATGAAATACAAATGATAAAACCAAAATAGATGAAAACCCAGTTCATCTTGGCTAGCAATGATGATCCCAAATAACAACGGGAATAACAGTAATACAAATGAGAGTCGAGTCTCCCTTTTCAATGTCATCAAGGAAGCAAAAACTGATGTGAAAAACAGCTTCATAATCTCAATAGTATGGTTGAAACTATTTGCTAGGAATCTCAAAGAAATATTTTCAATTATCACCGACACACAGAAGGCCAAATTC